TAATAATAATAATACTACTACGAATAATAATAATAATAATAATAATAATAATAATAATAACAATTTAATAGAGATAGGCCTACATTTTTTAAAATAGAAAAAAAAATTGCAAAATATACATATAAAACAAATATATATGGACAAATAAGCCATGCAAAATGTAAATGTATTACATAAAGTAAACATTACAGTTGTACTATTTACTATGACTACTACTTCTACTTACATAACAGCAGCAGCAGTAGTATTTGAGCACCGGTCCCCATGTATGAGTCTTGATAACATTTTAATATTCATATTTTTAACATTAAACGTTTATTAAACGTATGATAAGTGGCACCACTGTGTGCACAGAAGCGGACCCTTCGCGCGCGGACTCGTTTCCTGGCCGGACGGATTTGGCGGTGGGACGGATTCCTTTGACATTGCTTGGAGGAGGAGGAGAGGAGGAGGAGGAGGAGGTGGGGACAAGTGGTCGCACTTCAAAACACGTGAAGGTTTAATTGGGAAAACAATTAGCTGCCAGCCGCAGGCTCTCTCTCTCTCTCTCTCTCGCTGTGGTTGCTGAGACGTGTAGCGGAGTCATGTATCGGCGGCCGCTGCAGTCTGCCATCAAACACGGTATCAATGTCACCACGTCCAGAGCCGCTGTCGGAAAGGTAAAGATGTTTTAGCTCTCTGTAAGTCACAGCTAGCGGTAGCCTAGCTAGCATCTATGTACATATTTAGTCCACTAACATGGTGCTTTACAACTGGAAACGGGTGGATAAAGTAGATGAATATCCACGTGTAAAAACAATAATGCCATACAACGTGAGTCCATCGTGGAATTAAAGCGTCGCCTGCCACCCAGTTAAGCAGATGAACTGGTTATCTGTGTGTGTGTGTGTGTGTGTGTGTGTGTGTGTGTGTGTCCGTGTGTCCCTCTACCTCAGTTATTACCTTCCGCTGTTCCAGCTAGTGTCATGCTAACCTGATAATAATACCCAATACCTGCTGCCTTGCTAATTCTGCGAGCACAGTACGCTACTGTATGGACACTAATATATACGAATGAGATTCCTCAATTAATGAAGGATTTGTGTGTGTGTGTGTGTGTGTGTGTGTGTGTGTGTGTGTGTGTGTGTGTGTGTGTGTGTGTGAGTGAGGCACACCCAGTTTGAACTTAACTGAGATTGTTGTCTAAACAACGTTTAACAAAACAGAACAAGGCAGGTACAGATGCAGAGCCTCAGTCCAACACAACTGTGTGTTCAAGTATAACTTCATGTGTAGTAATAATACTTTAATTGTGTAGCACTATTTAAAAACAATGGTTACAAAGTAAAGCAGGGAAACATTAACAAGAGGAGGAGGAGGAGAAGGAGGGAGGGAAGCAATCAAACAAATGGACAATGAATACATTGGAGATTTGGAAAATAATATAGCTGTAGTGAGAGATCAGTGAGGTCTAATTGTTTGCATGTGCTAACACAAACCGCCATTTCTTTCGAGACAAATGTATGTATTTTAATGATCTCACCGGTGACAGAGATGAAACGCAAAACACTTATTTGGTGTTAACCGATACTGTTTGGCCGTAACCTACGCCAAAAACCAAAATTAAATACACAAAGTGTGTATTTCTTGCAAAAAATGGAGAGAAATACTCTTCTACATTCGGAAAAAACACTCTCCGAAACCAACCATCAACACACACGCACACACACAGTAAAAATCCCCCCTCAGTTATCTCCCCCTGCCACTTTGATTCGCCACCCACACAGATTGACATGTTCACAAGTTATGCTTTAGACAAATAATACACTGTCGTGTCACCTCTGTTTATTGTAATGTCTTATTCAGCCGATACAGATTTCTGTCACAAGGGCGAGTAAGGTACCATCCATTAAAGTCACTGTTTATCTCTCCAGATTTCAGAACGGGAAGCTTTAGCCCGGGCGCTGTTAGCATGCCAGCTAGCCAGAGCATCTTCAGCCTGTACGACACAATGCCGGACCCTGCATTTCACCCCCCAGGTAAGGATTTATGTTGTTTTACTTACTTACCCAGGTAAGTAAAATGTTATTAATGCCACATGTACGTGAAGTTAGGGTTGTGTTGCTGTGCTGAAGGCTGTTCTCTTCTCTTGCACCCCTACTTTCCATCTTCTAATGGGATGTAATGTTGTCTTCTCTCTCCACAACCCTCTGCCTCTCTTTCTGTATTCCTCTCTTTCCCAATCTTTTTTCCTGAATGTCCCTCTGTCTATTTTTCCTTCCCCCCTCTATCTCGTCTCTCACCCACCCTTCTCTCCCTCACCCTCCCTATGTCTCTCTCTTGTCTTCCACCCATCTCTCTCTCTGTCCTCCTCTTTCTCTCTGTCCCCAGCTCTATAATGTCAAGGAGACGCCCCAGCACTCGGAGGAGGAGGTCGGGGCGTTCACAAAGCTCATCGAGGCCATGGGCTTCACCGGCCCCCTCAAATACAACAAATGGGTATGTGACTAATGAGAAAAGGGGCACGATAGTCTAGTGGCTATGGTTAGGGTGTTTGACTCCCAGTCAAAAGGTTCTGGGTTTGAACCCCAATTGTGTTCTTTGTGGTCACTAGGCTCTGAGGAAACGGAAAGCGGTCCGGTTTGTCTTTGCGACAGCGGCGCAAAAATAATACCACTGAAACGCTAGGGTGGGAAAAGTTGAAAAGTTGTCTACAGCCACTATAAGTTATGGTATCATTTATTATTACAAATTGAAAGAGTAACTGAAACTATAAACAAAGACACTTTTTATAACCGACTGTGACAATTTTATTTGTTTATATATACTTTTTCGCGAAGCCTAAGATGCTCATGTCTTGCCAAATAAGTTACCATTAAAAGTGGAAGAATTTCAACAATTGAATCAGTCGTTTGGTCTGTATTTTAAAGAAGGTGTCTTATTGTTTCTGGCACTGTTAGGAACTGGTACCTTTTTTCACAGGAATCGAAATTGAACCGGAATCGAAATATTTCAAACAATACCCAACCCTAGGAATGAGTGGATCTGGTGTGGACCAGAGAATGTCGTATACACCACTTGAACCAAAACAAGGCCTACCAAATTGGACTTTAAGCTTCTTTTTTAATAGTTTGAAAAAAATCCAAATGTTTATTGTATTTTATTTATACAAAATATTTTAGGCCATTTTCTTTCTGCTTTATTCTGTAAACACTGAGCTTTTTGGCTGGACCAGCAGGCCAGCCATATATCCCCAACACTCTACTGTCTGTATTGGACGGGCAATAGCCTGAACAAACACTTCCTGGCTGCACCAGATTGGACGAACACTTTCAGTTGTGGGCTGACTGCTTTCGGATTACAAACCGGACCAACATGGCCGCTTACAATAACGATCTCATTTAACAGCCAAATAGTACACTAAAATGTGTTTCCGATAACACATTTTCATGCTGTTGCTCAATCTGTTTTCATTTTAGATCGACAACGATTGGTTGAAAACTTTTTGGGAGTTTCCAGAGGTATATATCGCTGGACGCAAATATCGCTGGACGATTTAGTAGAATATCCAATTTTGCATAAAGTAAAAGAGAATTCAACTCAATAAGGAGCACGCCAACAAGACACCCAACCTCTCGAAACTCAATGCTGCACTACCAGAATGCATTGCAGGGCTGCCCACATACACAATGAATGGGAGGTGTGGAAATAATGGATCCTGTGGACACGTAACTTTTATGTCCTGTTTATTGACTGCAGTTCATTCTGAATCTATCAAGCGCTAAGGACGGATTCACGGTCCATCCACATACTAGGTTTTGACCTAGTCTTGTTTTTTTACTAAATGCAAAGCATGTACAAATAATTTCCAAATAATCCGTCACTTTGCCTGTCAAGTCTTCGGTGCTAAGTAGCATCTCTCAACACAGTCAGCACTGTAGAGAGTTAGCAGAATGCCTGTTGCTTAAACAGGGAACTCCTGCTAAGAGGTTAGGACCATCAAAACCAAAGTGTGTGTGTGTGCGTGTTAAAAGCATCCAACACCACCCCAGCAGGTGGTGGGAGCAGGGCTGTCGGATAGAAATGTTATCCCTTCCATAGAAACACATGCAGCATAAGGATGTTATGCATCTATATTTACCCTCTTCCTCCTGGGATAAACATACACACACTCACATGTAGACACGTACACGTAAAGAATCTCCCCGTGACCATGGCTTAGTTTACTCCTATTCCAATGGGATCGTTTTTCCATTTTGAAGCCTGTAGTATTTACTTCTGCGTTGAACTTTCCCATAGGTACGGTCGTGGGTTCTCGACGCCGGTACTTGCATTTATGGTTCTGCGCCGGGATTCTGATTGCAGTCAGCCTGTACACCGGGGACATTTTGACCTATGACGTACATAATTTCGACCTATGGTATACATGCCATGTGGATGTCTATGCAGAAGTATAATTGGGCCTTGTTGATGGGAATGTCTCCTGCTGTTTCGTCACAGCTCTACTGTAGAAAGCCTTGACGTTAGTTTGTTTGCCGTCTACAAGTTACAGACGTAGATTAACAACATGATTTCACAACATTTATGTTATGATTTTATGTGTAAAATCATTTTGTGAAGGTTAGGGAGTGTTTGTACAGCCAGGAATAGATGTAATAAACCTTTTTGGAGGGAAGATGCCCTAATGTTCCTAAAGTATGAGAATTGTGTTCATGTATTTGTGTATTCTGCATTATTTGCTTCAGATAAAGCCAAAGGCAATAGATGATATGGTGGTGAGTTGGCTCAGGGTTTACCTCTGATGCCTCACAGCCTGAAGGTGTTGAAGGTGGGCTTGTGGAAAGTTTTCAAATTCTCCTTGCAGTCATGGAGGGTTCTCCGGTGCTCTGGTTTCCTCCTAATTTCAAACACACGTATGTTAAGATTGTTAGATTGCTAACGAGGCGTAGGGCATGCTGGCGTAATGCGGGCTTTTAGGGTGCTTGGTGTTTTAGGCTACTTTGCATTATACAGTAGTTAGTATAATGGGGCTCTTAACATGTTAGGGATCTTTGCATTTTGGATATCTTAACATGATGGAACGCTTAGCTTCTTGGGGATATCAGCATGTTGTGGTAGTTAGTGTGTTAGTGATCTTGTGGTTATTGATTAAGTTGAACCTCAATGGTTACTTCTGATAACCGAATAAGATGAAATATTGCAGCCAAACTAGTCTCTCTCTCTCCCAGAGCGTGTAGTGTTCGGTAGGGTCTGCTAGTAGTCAAGAATCCTTGCTTGGTGTTTGATGGATTTGGATACGCCTAATTTTATTCACATTCCGGCCAAGCTGTGTTGTTACCCTGGAAGACGTGAGAACCCTGTATGTGGCCAAGCTCCAGCAGGTTCAGTAGTTTCATGGAGTCTTTATCCCCCAGGAGGTGGTGCAGACGTGGAGGAATGTGCTGTTAGCCGAGCCATCTGGCACAGCGCTAGGCTAAGGGCTGGCACTACCATACCCCGTGCTCTGTGACCTCACTTCCTGTTTCCTGCTCCGAGAGGTTCACTTTGCTGTGCTCTGTGTTCCCATCCCCTCCCCTTTGGCCAAGGCGGTGGTTCTGATGATTTGATTGGCAGGTCGCTGCAAGACGGGGTCCGTGACGACCAGGCTGACAGACGCATTGGGGACATCATCACTGATTGTCTCTTGAAGTAGACAAAAAACAGAGCTCCCTTAGGGATATCTATAAAAAACGTGAGGCAGTTTAGTTGATGATTTGTTTCCTCAAAGACAAATCTACTCATTAAAACCTGTTCCTCTCGGAAGAATTATCCAACTAATGTTATTACCAATGATGTTGTAATGATCTATAACCTGTGGCTGAATTTGGCTGTAGTTAAAGTGCAATGAATGAATGATGGAACTGTGGAAACTATCTATCTAATCTTAATTATTTGTTGTGCAAGTAACCTGACCTTGCATGAACTCCATGGTCAGATATTGGTTTATAATTTGCTGGTAAATAATGTTCGCTTATATTTTCTCATATTTCCTATTGACAGAAAATCAAGATTGCGGCCTTGCGCATGTACACATGCTGTGTAGAAAGAATCAATTATGATGACTTCTTTGAAAGTAAGTCACACACACGTGCACACAAATCCACACACACACTGACACAGACACACTGCCACAAAGTTACACACACACACACACACACACACACACACACACACACACACACACACACACACACACACACACACACACACACACACACACACACACACACACACACACACACACACACACACACACAAACTGGTTTGGCAGTGCAATGAGCCAAGGCGTTGGCCTGTTTATCTCAACGTGTTGTTTAGAATCAGGAACACCTCTTCACATTGATCTTTGTTCAATCTCTAATATCAAACCCCACAGAGATTAGAGGTGTGTGTGTGTGTGTGTGTGTGTGTGTGTGTGTGTGTGTGTGTGTGTGTGTGTGTGTGTGTGTGTGTGTGTGTGTGTGTGTGTGTGTGTGTGTGTGTGTGTGTGTGTGTGTGTGTGTGTGTGTGTGTGTGTGTGTTTCAGGGTGCACACTTCCAGACACGCTCAACTCGTGGTTCTTGATAGCCCAGCTGCACGTATGGTGAGTAGGATGTTTGTGTGCACTTATTTAGGATGTCTGTGTGCACACTGGCACACGTTATCCTCTCCAGGCGGTAATGCGTCTTTAAATAGAAGTAACAGACACGCAAACAACTGCATTCATTGTCTATTTCTCTTTCTCTAGCTCTCTCATTTCCATGGTTCATACCCAGCTCCCTTTTCCTTATCTACCCGTTGCACATCTCTTAATAGTTCTTTTAACCCTTCTCTTCTAATGCTCTCTCTCCCTTCATCTTATTTTTGTATTCCTATTCAGTGTATTCACTGTCACTTTTCCTCACGCACATCCCCCCCCCCCCCCCGTCTCCCTGCAGGATGTGTCTGGTGCGGATGCGTCAGGAGGGGAGAGAGGGGAAGTACATGTGTCGCTACATCGTCCACTCCATGTGGGAGGACGTGGAGCAGAGGAGCAAGATCATGGGGGTGAGCAGAGAGAGGGAGGTGTGGGTGGTTACAAGGGAACCGTCACGCTTGATATTTTTTAATATAAGAGAGTACTGCCTCATACATGTGTTGTGAAGAAGTTGCTGTTAACACCGTTTCTGCAAAAAATGGCTGAAAATTTGGACTAGTTACATAGTTTTTATTTTGTATTTAATATTTCTATCTATATTTATGTCCTTGATAGTTCCTGTTTATTGTATGCACCATCCACACCAAAGCAAATTCCTTGTAAGTGAAAACATATCTGGCAATAAATCTAATTCTGATTCTGACTGGTCCCGGGATTTGCGTCCTCCATTGGTCCGATTTCGGAAAAATTACGTCAATGGTCCATTTCTTTTAGCGCATATTTGTTGCAGAATTGGAGTCGAGTTGCCACGATATTTTCACAACACACGTTTGAAGGTACTCTCTCATATAACAAACCAGCTGAGTTGGTGCACGTGTGCATGCAGTGTACACATATTTGTGTCAGTATCTCGAGTAGAAGTGTGCTGCTATATATTGCACGTTC